TCCCTGTTGTATCACTAAGATAACCTGAAAATAAAAACAACATATGAAAAATTTGGATTTGCATAAAACATGCAAAACAGCAACTTTTAAAGCATATATTTTCACTAATTTACCTGTCTAACTGTTAAAATAAAAGTTATGCTTTGGTACAAGTTCAAACAACAGTTATAGTTTTGTTTAGGTAGGCTTTTTGACTTTACAACTGCTTCTGCAAAATATGGTATCTTTTAAACTGTTTCCTATTAATCACCATCAAAACTTATGTATTACATGTATTCAAATTTAAGTTATAACATAAATGATTATATCGTTTGCACTATGTAAGCTGTTTAGGTTATTGGTATATAACAAGAGCCATGTTAGCAGTGCCATCCCCCGCCGAATGTGTTTGCTGATTGGAAGAATGTATTTGTAGTAGAGCAGAATAGTTCAAGTGAAAGAGGTCTTTTGGTAATGAAAACTGATGGCTGAAGTGATTACAGATTTGAAACCAATGTGAATACTGATGGCTGAAAATAACAAAGGGCAATAACTGCAAAATAATGCTGGGTAGGTTATAAGTTGATATCTCTAACACTTTTTGAGATATGCTCCGGACAAAAAGTATGAAAAATAACAAAGGGCAATAACTCAAAATTTATAAAGGGTACAGTTATCAATTCTTGCACACAGCATTCCTCCCTCAAAAAGATCTGATACACCTATGAAGTTTCAATGATAACATCTCAAAGACTTTTTGAGTTTATCTCCACTCAGTGAAAAATTATGTATGAAAAATAACAAAATGGCAATTACTCAAAAATTATGAATGGTAGAGTTATCATTCTTGTGCACTGCCAACATTTCCTGAGGAGATGCTATTCCACCCATGAAGTTTCATGTTGACATCTCAAAGACTTTTTGAGTTATGCTCCACTCAGGTGAAAAAATAAGTATGAAAAATAACAAAGGGCAATAACTCAAAAATAATGAAAGGTACAGTTATCATTTCTTATGCACTGCGCACATCCTGAGTGAGATCTATCCACCAATGAAGTTTCATGTTGATATCTCAAAGGCTTTTTGAGTTATGATCTGGACAAAAATTAAGTTTGAAAAATAACAAAGGGCAATAACTCAAAAATTATACAGGGTAGGTTATCATTCTTGTGCACTGCACTCCTCCTCAATGAGATCTATCCACCTATGAAGTTTCAAGTTGATATCTCTAACACTTTTTGAGATATGCTCCGGACAAAAAGTATGAAAACTAACAAAGGACAATAACTCAAAATTTATAAAGGGTACAGTTATCATTCTTGCACACAGCATATCTCCTCAAAAAGATATATCCGCCTATGAAGTTTCATAATAACATCTCAAAGACTTTTTGAGTTATGCTCAGAAAATGTCAGAATGTTTCCGATAACCGGAAGTAAAGGTGGACCCGGCGGGACCCCAGGCTGTCTCCGACAATTAATCACTATTAACAAAACCAAGCACAAACAAACCAAGAAAGGCGTAAAAGAAAATCCAGATGCAAAGTTTAAAACTTCGTATAGTAAATACTGAAACATTTTCTTTTTATTTCAATTATTGAGTAACTGCATAATAAAGCGCGTCAAAAGTTACCAAACACTATTTAATAAATCACTATACGTTAAATATATATAGAGAGTCACATACATTACTCACGCTCCAATGACATTGTAAGGTTGCCCAAACGGTATTATGAAGTGTTCATTACCAAAAATGCTAATTTTATTTTCGCGTAAGTATTGAATGTAAACATACGTAAAATGCCGACACAGGCCGAAGTCAAATCTTTTTACAATATATATCATGTGACATTGTCAGCTCCGACGTTTGACAGATACTGATATTTGTTGGTCTGTTTCTTTTTATTAACCTTGTTATAACAAACAAACCAAAATACAAAACTATTAATTATTGAAGTTCAAATAATTATGCTAACATGTAGGTCAAATATGTTAATTTGTAGGTCAAATATGTTGATTTGTGAATATTTTGTCATGTCTCAATAGTGATATGAACATCAAGATAAAATATCAGTCTTAAAAGAAATTGACATAATCAAAAAACAAACACTCTTTTCGCAAATATATAGAAAATTGATTGCTTTTGTCTAACTCGTACAGACACAAACTGCATTAATAAAATTTATAAAATCCGGTTATTGAACTGTAATCATCAAATAATTACAAACTAATCACAGTAATATTTGATATAATGCATCAGACTGTTTTAATTAAATAAATATTTCAATTGTTTTTGCTTTGTATTGATTTAGACGCACATTATGCGCATTGCATGTTTTAGACAGACCATGCAGGCCTCGCGACGAATAGAATATATCCACGAAGTAATACTAATACAGTATCGTAAGGACTTAAAATAAAATTATAAAAAAACAACAACAAAAAAACAACGAACCGGAACGAATGAACAGACTATTGAACTTTACTCAACCGCTCGTAAAAAAAATTGAATTTAATAAACGCTTTGTTTTCTGCCAATGTTAAATGTTCGTCCTAGTTTGATCGTCTATAAACATAAATCATAAAAAAATAATTAGTATGAAAGGTGATGTAGCAAAATGACGGAGTAGATGTAGATCAAGGTGACGTGTCACTATGGCGAATCAATCATTCGAGTATCCATTGAACCATTTCAAGTCTGTTTACAACGAGTTATTCATTCATTAATTAGTACATTTGTGAAAACATTTCCTATATTTATTATTGAATACATTGTTTATATTTGTTTGACTGTGTTTTGTTTGAAAAAGTATAATTAAAAAAAGTAAACTCTGACAAATAGCACAATGTCTGGCTGTTGTTTGACAATGGTTTGTCACACAAAGTCTCTGTTACATACAGGAAAAGGATATTGTACCCACCCACGCTCCATATTCGCCTAATATTGTACCATTTGACTTTATCTTGTTCACAAGGCTATAGAAATAAACCTTTCAAGACGAAATTTTGTTCAGAACAAAACACCTCGTATCTTTTTAACATAGCTCCTTAAGAAAAAAAAATGAAAATGTTTTCAAAGATAACATCAAAAGGCTGAAGTCTTGCATATCTATTGGAGATGAATTTTCTAGAGGTACAAATATAAGATTTCATTCACTTCTATCAAGTATGCATTATTTATGTGCTTAAATGTTTTCAAAATGATTTCAACATTCCTAACACATCCCATGCGTTTATATACATCAGCGATAAGTGTCATACAGGTGCAGATGGGTGAAGAGAAGTAATTCAGAGAAATTGTTTGTCAGCGGTTTCCTCGGGAGAATCGAGATCCTGCGCATGCACAGCAACTGCTCACTTGTAAATCCTGTGTCGTGCATCAATAATTTTCTTAATTGCAACATATATGTCATTATGTCAATAACCCCTGTCTATTTTAGTTTCATGCCAATCAAAATTATGTATCTTCTTACTATTTCATTTTCATAGTTACCGCAGATTCTCTTTTTTTACACTTTTAATGTTTACCAAAATAACCAAATTTCGAAGTAAGGGGAGTTATTACGCTCTGACTTATAAATCTTCGGAACACAATTAGCTCCCTTTCATTTACGATTGAGCTATTGTCGATATTGTGCAGTTGCTCGTTATGTGCTCTCTGTAAAATTTCTCATTTGTCGATTTATCTTTTTTATTTTTTTTCTCAGCAAAGCATCGAGTAAATAAAAAAAAAATAGATTACCTAAATCAATTTATTTTGTAGACAGTAAAGTTTATAACTTGGTCACAGAAACCACGGAATTGACAAAGTCCGTGCACAAACCCAACAGTACCAAATTGTATAAACCTTAGTTAAATCAATCCTGGGAATGAATATCATTCTAAAGAGAATCACCTGCTAATTAAAATATCCACAAAGCCTACTGTACTACCGTTTTATGTAGGCAAAGAAATAATATATTTAACAAGTGCAGAGAACTTTCTTAAACTTTGCATGATTAAAGAAAATCATGACATCTTGATGAAGAAACTGTGGGTTTCCATCATTCATTTTTAGATATCATATTTATGCACTTTGCAAAGTATGGCTTCTATTGGAAATTACAACGGCAATATATCTAGATCAAATGCCAACTTAGTTTGGTCAATACATGTGTAATATAGATATACTAAATGCGAACCAAGTTCGGTCAATACAATTGTTATATAGCTAAACCAGATGCCAACCAAGTTTCTTCATTACAAGTGTAATATAGCTAGACTTCTAAATTTTAAAACTTAATGGAAGCCTCGAGTTCAGTTACTAGTAATACAAGTGTAATATAGCTTATCCAGATGCCAACCAAGTTCAGTCAATACAAGTGTAATATAGCTTAACCAGATATCAACCAAGTTTGGTCAATACAAGTGTAATATAGCTTAATCAGATATCAACCAAGTTTTGTCAATACAAGTGTAATATAGCTTAACCAGATATCAACCAAGTTCAGTCAATACAAGTGTAATATAGCTTAACCAGATGTCAACCAAGTTCAGTCAATACAAGTGTAATATAGCTTAACCAGATATCAACCAAGTTCAGTCAATACAAGTGTAATATAGCTTAACCAGATGTCAACCAAGTTCAGTCAATACAAGTGTAATATAGCTTAACCAGATATCAACCAAGTTCGGTCAATACAAGTGTAATATAGCTTAACCAGATATCAACCAAGTTCAGTCAATACAAGTGTAATATAGCTTGACCATATGCCTCCCAAGTTCGCTCAAAACAAGTGTATTATCGGTATAGCATGACCAAACGTTTATGCCAAGTTTGGGCATTACAACTGTAATATAGATATACCAAATGCCAACCAAGTTCAGGCATTATAACTTTTGAGTTGAATCAAATGCCAGTGCAACTTGAGTTCATCTGAATCAAATGCCATTCGTGCTCGGCCAATACAACTTTAGAACTCTTCCATACATTATTTATACAGCTGTTAAGAAATGATTTGAGACACAAACACAAAATTAATATTTGTCAATTTATTATCTTGTATAAAAAACATATTTAATGTATAAAAATAAATCAATTTGAGTGACAGTTCTTAACAAGTATTTGACGAAGTCCTTCCCTGCTGAATTTGCAGCTTTGAATTTGAGAAGCTGCATAACATGGTAAAAAATAAAAGAAATACTCTAAGCACAATCATTTGAAGTAACACAGGATAAGTTAACACATGTGTACCTATTTCATTGCATACACTATGAATTATAAAATATGTTTTGATACGATTTTAACTCGGACATGCTATTTATTTATTACATCAACTTATCTTCTCAGTATTTAGGATCTATTCTACAGACTGACTTACATTTTTCACTTTACTTGTTTAACATGTTTAATATACTTGTCTTAACACTTAGTCCATGCTTTGAACATTCACATTTATCTAGTTGTCTTAAAAAAGCTATGTTGTTGTCCTGGGAAGTCGGTGTCAGAATACCAAAAACTGAGTAGACTAACCTGAGTTCACCTGACACCACAAATATTAGACTACAGTTTGTTATTACTACAATCAATCAAAATAACAAAAATCAGAGTACATGTACTGTATTTTAAACAACTATATACTTTCAACATCTTCATCTTGTTTCTTATTTTTATTGTCTATATCAACCTTTGATAAAGTAACATACAAAACACCTGCTGCTATAATGCAAGCACCGGCCACATAAAAACTAACGTCATAACTCCCTGTTGTATCACTAAGATAACCTGAAAATAAAAACAACAGATGAAAAATCTGGATTTGCATAAAACATGCAAAAAGCATATATTGTCCACTTATTTTCCTGTCTGACTATTAAAATCAAAGTTATGCTTTTGTACCAGTTCACACAACAGTTATAGTTCTGTTTAGGTAGGCTAATTGACTTTACAACAGCTTCTACAAAATATGGTATCTTTTAAATTGTTTCCTATTAATAACCATCAAAACTTTTGTATTAAATGTATTCAAATTTGAGTTATAACATAAATGATGATATCGTTTGCATTTGGTTAGCTGTTTAGGTTATTGGTATATAATAACTGATTAAGTTTATTATAGCAGAAATACACAAACCTGCGAATGGGGGACCAACAAGATTTGCAATGCCTTCCATAAATAGAATGAGACCACAGAAAAAGTTATCAAATGCCTTCTTGCCGACAATATCTATCAGAACACAAGACAGGAGTGCTTCCGTGGCAGCTGAAAATAATCCAAAGCATCCAGACAACACCGCCAAAACAGAGAACTGTTTAAAAAATGGAACAAGTAAAACAGACACACCACATAGAGCTGTAGATAGGCCATATAGAATAGCACGATTGATGAAGGTCCTGTCACCAAGAAACCCGTATCCAAGAATACTGAATAAATGAACGAAACCAATTATTGCTAATAAAGACGATGCCTTTTGAGAAGACATTCCAAAATTTACTGACCTATCAACAATAAAAACATATGGAACGTCATACCAAAAGTACATCACAAAATTTGATATTGCAAAAATTATAAAAGGGATTGTGAGCATTTTAGTGAACTTTCTTTGGCAGAATGTTTGCGCCCTGGATGTCATATTATTTCCCAGTAATACAGACCCGTTCAATCGCGGCTGTAGTTCCGTTCCATTTTCTATTTCAACAGTTTCATGAATAAAAGGTTCTTCCTCGTTTCTAACAATTTCAATTGCATGAACAGCCCTGTATTTCAAGCCTAAAGGTCGATAAAGAGCACCACAGACTATTATATTGGCAACTATGCCGCTAAGTATTAAAATAGTCCCTCTCCATCCAAAACGTGTCACTAGAAATTCAGTAAATGGTGCAAATATTACAGTTCCTAAACCAGCACCAGATTCCGCTATACCAGAGGCTAAAGCTAATCGTTTGTCGAAATAATCAGTTACTGTTTTCAATGAATTGAAATATGGCAATGACATTCCCACACCTCCTACGAATCCGTAGAATATAACCAACATCCATATAGAAGAAGAAAATGATGCAGCTGCAAATCCTAAAGATGCTATCAAACCTCCTAACATCGTTGCAGCTCTTGAACCTATTTTCTTTGTTATAATCCCTGCCAAAGGTGCACACAGAAGAGGTACGGCGAAAAATAAAGATCCAATCCATGCAGTATTGCTTTTCGTGTCGCCGAAAGAGTCTAACAGATCCACATACAAAATTCCAAACGAATAACTACATCCGTCATAAATGATATTAAAAGTGAGCGTTGCTAAGACAACCACCCATCCCCAACCGCCGTCAGGAACATGATTCTCTCTAACTTTCTCTGGGTCCGTTACATTGTTTCTTAATTCGAATTCTACTTCTTTATGACTATCATCTTCCATCGCAAGTGAATATTTTTCAGACCTGAAAAAGTAAAAATGGTATGATTATAAACTCTACTAAGACCATACTGAGCACAAAATAATATATATTAATCTGCTTGCGATAATAATTCTACCCATGCAAACAGTGCACACTAGGATCTGTGTCGTTTCTGTATCATTCTAAATTGTATATAAACGGAAAAAGCTCGAAGTGTTAATGCATTGTTGAACCGTATATGCCAAACATGTGATATGTTATTAGAGTAGAAATGCTACCAAATAATAATTATCATCCCTTTCAAACAAACGAATATTGTGTATTAAAATTGATGAATGTGGCTTTAATTTGATATGCGCACAACATCTTAGAATGTGTTTGTCCAATTTTCTTGAAACTTAGCAATCAGTCTGTCCAATTTTCTTGAAAGAGAATTCCTATGTGAAGTTTTTACCAAAGGGGAAAATACGAAAAGCTATGAAATGTTATGGTTTTTTGTCATTGCAATTCCTCTCATAATCTATATAATCTCTATAACTAAATAGAGTTTCCATGAGATATTATTAATTTACAGTTTAGAAGTATCAAGTTAAATGTTCATGTTGCACATCATAGACGCCGCAAAATATATGAACAGTCAATCAGCATTGAAAATCGTTCTCTATTACAGTTGAATATCCGAAGCACAATCCTTTTTTTTCTCCGTGTTATTGGTATGTGCTCGTTGTTTCAAAATTAAGTTGCATAATTTTGTAAAAAAGTAGAACCTAATACATAAATTCACAAAGTGATGCCAAGTCTGAAATTCTGAAATGCTTGTTTGTTGCGACAAAGATTGAAACGTCCGGTCGAAGCAAAATTAATTGCATAACAAGTAAAATTTAAATGATTGGTATACTTAAAATAAATTCAAGACAATAATGTGCCGAGAATATGTCCATTTAAGTATTGGTGCGAACTGCGTAATGTTCGAATGATTTTGAGGACGAACTGTTCTACGGTCACCCCTTATTGGCCTTAGGGGGCAGGTACGGTGTTCCGTTTGGACACGTTTGGACAATCGTGACATTTTATTTATTCTGTACCCGCGATGCACGATGGTACGATGGTGAAAACGCGATGGCACGATGGTACGATGGTGAAAACACGATGGTACGATGGTGAAATCACGATGGTACGATGGTGAAATCGCGATGGCGCGATAGTACGATGGTGAAAACGCGATGTCACATCGCGTTTTCACCATCGTACCATCGTGATTTCACCATCGTACCATCGCGTTTTCACCATCGTACCATCGCACCATCGCGCTATCGTGTTTTCACCATCGTGCCATCGCGCTTTCACCATCGTGCCATCGCGATTTCTCCATCGTACCATCGCGATTTCACCATCGTACCATCGCGATTTCACCATCGTACCATCGCGTTTTCACCATCGTACCATCGCGTTTTCACCATCGTGCCACCGCCTTCCGGTGGACATGCGCATTGTACATCTTTATCAACAATGGATGAATGCATAACTATGTATTATGTGAGAGGCTATACGTATCGAGACATTTTAAATATAGTGAGGCTTAAAACGGGATTTGATCTCAGCACAGACTATTTAATAAGTGTTGTGTATTAAGATTCAATCATTATAAAACCTTTATGCACTGTGCTTAATTCATCTTGTCTAGATATCTATAACACAAATTTTTTAAGGTTTTATATCATAAATATGATGCTCAAATTAAGATAAGTTCCAAAAAGCATTATTTGTAAAGATGTTACCGAATTTAACATTTCATGTAAATAAAGGGAGGTAATAAAAATTTATTTTCTGTAAAGTCTAAGTCAATTTTTTCAATAAGAAATGAATGCATATATTTTAATGATTACATATAATATGTATAAATATTTGCAGTACATATTTTACATATTCTCGATGTTTGAAACTTGTTTTATATTAAAGCATTATTATATAAATATATATAATTTCCCTGAAGTGTGGTGTTAGCTCAACAGGTACAGCGTTGGACTGTGAATCGGGCGATCGGGTTTGATTCCCCCGACGGGTGCAGGTCACTTTCGTTGTGATTGATCATGAAATCCTTTCTACGGTCATTGACACTGGTCTCTGCTCTGCAGAAGTTTCAGTTCTTTGCGAAAGTGAAGGCAACCAGTACTGGTAAACTGCTTGACAGCCTGCCCAGGAAAATGCGGTGGTTGAACTGTGCTCTTGTGAATTCAATGTGGCTTACTGTCATGATCGGAAGTGAAAACTATCACCACAACCACCACGGTGTACAACCTCAATTACAACATACAAAATCTTTAGAACGGTACAAAATTGTCTTTTGGTATAGCTGTCATGTGTTTTTTTTTTTCAATTATTCTTGCTTGGATATGGAAGAATGAAAAATCACAATACGTTCAGGTATTAGAAAGTAAATTATAAAACAAAATGAAAATAAAAGGAAAATTAAAGAAAATACTGAGCCAGAAATGATGCACCAAGAGCTCATACATATAGATAAGATAATTCTATTTCCCGAGACTATTAGAATGTGTATGCCTTAAAGTGAGAAATGTTTGCCCTTGACCTGGTCCGATTGGGAATTTAAAGCCAAAGAATATTATATTACTATGGAAGATTAATTATTACTGCAAAAATTGTAAATTCGGCGCTATAATCCGAGCATATGTTCCAGTGCCAGACCTGGGGATTGATCAGTAATTTACTTAATTACAATTACTTTCAGATTTTATTGTTATATGCTTTTATATAATGCTTTTTGGAACTTATCTTAATTTGAGCATCATATTTATGATATAAAACCTTAAAAAATTTGTGTTATAGATATCTAGACAAGATGAATTAAGCACAGTGCATAAAGGTTTTATAATGATTGAATCTTAATACACAACACTTATTAAATAGTCTGTGCTGAGATCAAATCCCGTTTTAAGCCTCACTATATTTAAAATGTCTCGATACGTATAGCCTCTCACATAATACATAGTTATGTATTCATCCATTGTTGATAAAGATGTACAATGCGCATGTCCACCGGACGGCGATGGCACGATGGTGAAAACGCGATGGTACGATGGTGAAATCGCGATGGTACGATGGTGAAATCGCGATGGTACGATGGTGAAATCGCGATGGTACGATGGTGAAAGCGCGATGGCACGATGGTGAAAACACGATAGCGCGATGGTGCGATGGTACGATGGTGAAAACGCGATGGTACGATGGTGAAATCACGATGGTACGATGGTGAAATCACGATGGTACGATGGTGAAAACGCGATGTAACATCGCGTTTTCACCATCGTACTATCGCGCCATCGCGATTTCACCATCGTACCATCGTGATTTCACCATCGTACCATCGTGTTTTCACCATCGTACCATCGTGCCATCGCGTTTTCACCATCGTACCATCGTGCATCGCGGGTACAGAATAAATAAAATGTCACGATTGTCCAAACGTGTCCAAACGGAACACCGTAGGCAGGGGACCTAAAAATGAAAAATTTTGTATTTCAGTGTGACCAGAAACACAATTCCAAATATTTCAAAATCTGTTTCACAGGCAGATAACCAGTTGCACAGCATTATTCAATGATATATTACATACATTGAAGAAAATAATAGTTTGCATGCATTGCTCCTTCAAAAAATGACTGACAGCAATTTATATTTACCCCCACCCAGCCAAAATCACACCTAAAATGTACCAATATAGGCAATCTTCATGAAGGTGCAGCATACTCCAGAATCCGCCCGATTCCTTTAAAAATATCAGTAACACGCAGTGCAAGCTATGGCATTTTCAGAAATGACAAATAAAGTGTCTGTCATACGTTTAGATTTTTCACAAAATTTATCTGAAATTTCTTACTTGTTTGGCGCCAACTGTCAAAGCTTGATTTTTAACTTTTTCACCTCCATTCGGAGAGTCAGAAATACATACAAAGCTACCAAAATGCTTAGTTTCGGGTAAAAACCCAAAAATATATCTCATTTCCTACACACAAACAAGAAAGAATTACAATGACAGAGAAATATCAGAAGTTATCAGTACCTTCAAAACACCATGTCTGAGTTATTAAAAAATTTGACCGGGGCCATCATTCGAATATGTCCCCTGCCCCCTTAGCGTAACCGGTGCGCAGAGCTTGGCGTACTTTCTTAACTGTTGAGGGAGAACCGCCTCTCTGACAGTGGGCGTGGTTTAGGTTTTGTAATTTAATGATTCGACAAGTGATATTGATCAAAGTTGTCCTGGTTCCCTTACGCCCCGTCAACGAAGACTAAATGCTAGCATACAGAGCATCATATTAAATTTGGCGACAATTTAAGGCGGAGCCGAACTTCAACAGAGGCGGAGCAAATGAAGTGAGTGACACTGCCTCAGTCGTTACCTCTCTCAACGGTTAAGTTTTAGAACGATCGACTATAGACTGGCTCATTGGCACGTTATTTATTATGTAGATAAAATTAGATAATGATAAAAAGAATATGATATTCAAACATGGCACTATCACTTCAGTTAAACGTTTATTCTAATCCCTTAAAGCTCATGACATGCTGTACACCAAAAAAGCTATTTTTATTAGAAAATTAGAAAATTTGACAATTTGACAATTTGATTTTGTAACCCCCACCAAAAAAAAATTACACAAAATCAAGTCTAAAATGTCGCCCATTGCTATATGGACAAATGCACATATAATCCCCTTTCAAAATTCCATTATATTTAGTTCCGCCCATTGTTTTCTCGTTTAGGGCACACACATTCTTTTACTTGGGGACCATACGCCGCTTTTCATGGAATGGCACTACTGTGTCACATTGAAGGCCGTATGAACACATCTGCGGATGTTTCTAAATTCAAAATTTCACCATTTTTCGTGTTTAAATGTTAAATTCTGCTTAAGCCGGTGCTAGGGGGCATGGGCGGTAACTTGCACTTTCCAGTACCGTCCATGAACAGGCTCAATCAAACCGAGCCTGCAATATTTTCAATTTTGTCGTGTTGGGCT